CCGGGAGATTGGGAATTCTAGTCCCGCCTTAGACCGAAGAGCCAGGTGGGGTGATTTTGGCCCAATCACCAAGAGTCTGGGAAATCTAGTTCTGCCTTAGGCATGAAAGCCAGCTGGGAGACTGGGGGGAACTGGCGCTGCCCACCCTGTGGCTAACCTTGCTCTCCCCTCTTCCCACCCGCTCTGGGCTTCCGGCTGCCCTCCCCCCCCGCGGGACCCCCTCCCCCCTCCCCACACAGCCCCCGGAGTCGCCCCTGGTGCAAATGATGCTGCAGCTCTTCTCCTTCCTGGACCGTTACTCCCAGCTGCAGCAGCTGCAGGAGAAGGCCGGCGAGTACCGTTCGCGCCTCCACTGTCAGGAGAGCCGTTGGCGCCGGCAGATGCGGGGTCTGAAGAGGGCCTACCAGCAGCGGGTGAAGGACAAGCTCGGCGTCATCCAGAGCCTGGAAGCCATCATCCTGGAGCAGCAGGGCCTCCTGGAGAAGGTGCAAGCAGGTGGGATGCCCTTTTGGGACGGTTCCCTCAAAAAGCCCACAACACCATCCTCGGTTACGTTAACCGAGGGACAGAATCAAGACCACGTAAAGTTTTAGTACCACTTTATAAGGCCTTGGCGAGGCTACATTTGGAATCCTGCATTTCGGTCGCCACGATGTAAAAAAAAAACACGAGGGTGAGACTCCAGAAAGAGTGCGGAGAAGAGTAACCGGGAGGATTAGGGGACTGCTCAGTTGAGTTTAGTGTACCTTATCGTCCTTGCACCTCGTGCAATGAAATTAAATGCCACCTTCAATGCGCATGATCAAAATAAAACACAAACACACACCCTTCACATTCCCTACCACTGAATTGAAAACCCGATGTTGCATTCATATTGCACTACGCAGTAGCACGAGGGACCCGATGGCTCAAGGGCTAAGACTCTGAGCTTATCGATCAGGAAGGTCAGCCGTTCGGCGGTTCGAATCCCCAGCGCCGCGTAATGGAGTGAGCTCCCCTCGTTCCTTGTCCCAGCTTCTCCCAACCTAGCAGTTCGAAAGCCTGTAAAAAAAATGCAAGTAGAAAAATAGGCACCACCTTTGGTGGGAAGGGGACAGTGTCCCATGCGCCTTCGGCGTTTAGTCATGCTGGCCACATTAACCACGGAGACGTCTTCGCACAGCGCTGGCTCTTCTTCGGCTTTGTGACGGAGATGAGCCGGAAACGTCTAGCATGTATGTGCGAGGGGAACCTTTAAGCTTTACCTTATACAGTAGTACAGTACAATATGGCAGTACAATATTGTACTCTACAGTAGTACAGTAGACTTGAGGCTAAAGTGTATGAATAACGGTTGCAGGAATTGGGTGTGTCTAGCTTAGTGAGAAGAAGGAGGAGGGGGTGGACATGATAGCAATATTCCAATATTTGAGGGGCTGCCTCAAAGAAGTGGGGAGCACCTATTCTCCAAAGCACCTAAAGGCAGGACAAGAAGCAAAGGGTGGAAATCCCAAATGGTGTTTTTTTTTCAAGAGGCAACTGGACTTTCTGGTTTCTGTTTGAAGACGTTGCGTTTCTCATTCAGTTCAGGACTGAAGAAGCTTCTTGGATGAGAAGCAAAGCATCTTTAAACAGAAAGTCCAGATGCCTCTTGAAAAAAAATACCACCTTTGGGACAACCGTGATCTGGAGGACGGAGGACCTCCTTAGACATTCAACGGAGGTAACTCATCAAGGAGAGAAGCAACCTGGAATTAAGGAGGAATTTCATGACAGTGAGGACAATGAACCAGTGGAACTGCTTGCCACCAGAAGTTTGTGGCTGCTCCAACACTAGAAGTTTCATAGAAGAGATTGGACAGCCATTTGTCTGGAATGATTTAAGGGCGGGGTCTCCAATCTTGGCAACTTTAAGACTTGGGGACTTCAACTCCCACAATTCCACAGCCAACATGGCTAGCTGAGGAATTCCGGGAGTTCAACGCCACGAGTCTTAAAGTTGCCAAGGTTGGAGACACTTGGTCTAGTTTCCTGCTTGAGTAGAAGGTTAGACTAGAAGACCTCCAAGGTCCCTTCCAACTCTGTTATTCTTTTATTCTGTTGTTCTGAGGTGCCCTCAGAAGGGGCTGGCCCTCCTCCAGATGTTATTGGGGAGGGGGAGATGGATGGACAGGAGTCCCGTGGCCCTTAGTGGGGTCCAAACTGGGCAGTTCAGAGTTTCAGGCTCAGCTTTGGTCCCCTAGCTAAACCCCCCACCCTCCTTCCTGTGTCTCTCCTGCAACCTGTTGTGGTTCGCGAGCAGCCGGTGTAAACGGCAGCGGAATCGGACAGTGAGGACGAAAGGGAACCAGTCCGGGAGTCTGGAGAGGACTCGGACGAGGGTCCTGCGTCCGATGCAGGGGTGGGGCCAGGACCATCTGGGAGTGGGGTGCTATCTCCAGAACCTTAGGAGTCTGATAGCAGTGAGGCAGAGGAACAAGGGGAGCCTGTTCCCAGTGCGCGTATGCGCAGAGCTGCTAGAAGGCAAGAGCAGCTAAAGCAGAAGGGGCAACTCAGGAGTAAGGCTGGGAGGAGATGGCTCCTCCCCTCAGGGATAAAAGTCAGACCTCAATGACGAAACCTTTGCAGGAAGCAAAGTAGTTCAATTAGATTCCAAGTCCTTGAAGCTCTGTACTCTGGTCGGTTTTTCTGGGACTTTGGTTGGTTTATGTTATAATTAATTGGACTTCTGCTTTTTTGGCACCATTCCACAGCACTGAAAGGCGTGTGCTTATCTTGGGCAACTGTTTCAGATTAGTTCTGGCTGGGAATGCAAGTAATTCCCAGCGCTGTTGCATGAAAAGAGGTTTTGCTTTGAAAATAAGTTGGTGTTTCATTACGTTTGACGAAGCCTGGGTCAGAAACAGAACCCTTCTCCTCTGTCTAGGCTCAAAGCTGCCGTCCACTGGCCTGCTGTGCCCCGTGGCCCCCGGGGGTCTGCACCAGATGGTGGAGTCCATCAGCGCCCTCCAGGGAGAGCGGAGCCACCTGGCCGAGGAGGTGGTGGGTCTCCAGCAGCGGGTCGAAGAGCAAGAGAGGGAGAAGCAGCAGCTGTCCAGGAGCTTCCACCACCAGGTGAGAGCCCCCACCCCCACCCTCTCTGTGGCCGCTGGAGCAGAGTCCGGGCCCCCAGCCAGGGGCGGGATTCAACCGGTGTGACAAAACCGCCTATTTTCACCTCTAATACTTACCTTCCACTGCAGCCCCCGTGAGTAAAACAGCTGAGGCACGGCAATTTATTTGCTGTGCCGCTTGAATCAGCGGAGATGCCAAACATGGAAATAAAGGACAGACCAGGGCAGGAGCAGCTACTGGTTTGCCCAAACTGGTCTGAACTGGTAGAATCCGACCTCTGCCCCCAGCCAAACATTAGCTATTGTACTTAAACGGTGTGATGACCGAAAGGGGCGTGGCACAAAGGCCACACAGTCAGATAATCAGTAGGAGTCCCTCAATTAGCTCCAACTTTGCCCCCAATGTCCAGGTTACCTTCTGGGCTGGAGAAAAACTCTCCCAGGAACAGGCTTTGGCTGCAGAGATTCAAGTCCAAAACATGGTCAACAAAAACTGTAACTATAAGTCCAATCAAGGCCAAACGAGGTAATTAGTCCAGCAGGGCAGGAGAAGGAATTCCAGTCGTGAAAGCACAGCAGTAACTCAACACGGTTGGGAGGATGCCAAGAATACAGATAACCGAAGTCAACACAAGATAAACTCACGTTTGTTCCCAGCGGACGCTGCACTCAGTATGCATTTCTTTTAAACTCTCTTCCCAGCTGTGCCTAATGAAGGGAATCAGGGCCCTTTCCTCCCCCATAAGCCACACAACCCATGTTGCTCCCTTCTCCGTTCCTCCCTGCGTGCCCTAGGATGAAGAGGGAGTGGGCCTGGTCTTCCTCCGAACTCCCTCTCCCTTGTTCTACCTCTTCCCTGCTCTGCCCAGACAGACTTTGCCCTTCCCCAGTTTCCTCCACAGCCAAGGGAGCCACACTCCCGCTCCCTGTCAGCTGTTCCTCCTCGGATTCAGACTCCGACAGGGGCATGACACATAGTCTCCTCCTTCAGCAAGGGGGTGGACTAGGAGACCTCTAGGGCCCCTTCTGACTGTTCCATTTACAGGTTGTTATCCATGTAGGGGGGTGCAGGAAGGGAGGCTCAGCCAATCTCATTGTACATCACGGGTGGTATTCAGAAAGTTCTGACCAGTTCTGGAGAACCAGTAGCGGAAATTTTGAGTAGTTCGAAGAACCAGCAAATCCCACCTCTGACTGGAGATTTTACAGTCTCCTTCCCCTGCCACGCCCACCAAGCCACGCCCACAGAACTGGTAGTAAAAAAATTTGAATCTCACCCCCATTGTACAGGTGTGTTGTACTCTGACAATAAAGATAACAATAACAATAATAATCTGCATTTGGATATGACAATGGGGAAGCTGCAACCGTCATGAGTCCATGCCAGTTGCCGAGCATCTGAATTTTGATCATGTGACGACAGGGAGGCTGCAATGGTCGTAAGTGTGAAAAACGGCCATAAGCAGGGGTGGGCTGCTTCCAGTTCGCCCCAGTTTGCCCAAACTGGTAGCTAATTTTATCCTTTTTAATAACCGGTTTGGTGAACCGGTAAATCCCACCCCTGGCTGGCCCCGCCCACCCTGCCCCGCTCCTCCCAGGAATCCCCACGCGGCCCATTTGGGATGCCAGGTAAGTGCAGGGCCCACACGGAAGCTCAGAGAGGTCAAAAAAACAGGCCCTCAGGAACTTCGGGGAAGGCCGGAAATGGGCCCGTTTCCAGATTCCAGAGAGCCTCGGGAGTCTGGGGAGGCCATTTTCGCCCTCTTGGAGTCTCGAGGGAAGCCTCGGGAGTCTGGGGGGGATGAAAACGCAGCCCCCTGCCATGGTGCAGGAGGCTGACTAGGCCACGCCCACAATGGCCACGGCCACCCAACAGCCGGGCCGAGAACCCCTTGCTGAAATTTTGGAAGACCACCTCTGGTCATAAGTGACTTTTTTCAATGCCGCCACAACTTCCAACGGTCACTAAACTGAACAGTTTTCTATCGTCTCATCTGTGGGAGAAGAGCTTTGAGTGGAGCCCTTGGGGTTGTCCTCTCTACGGAGGAGGGGGCGCCCTTGAACAGGGGTGACTGTCCGGGGTCTCCCTTCCCGGCAGGTCCAAGGCCTGAAGCAGCAGATCCAAGCGCAGGAGGAAGAACGCGAGCAGCTCCGCCTGGGCAGGGTGAGGAAGGGGAAACGGGGGGG